ACAATATAAAACTTGTAAATCAAAATAATAAAACTTGTAATATCCTCTATTACATAATTGTATTATAGCCATAGCAGTGGCTAAATCAACCATATGGGTTGATATCTCAGTTTATCTAAGTTAATAACATAGGCTAAGGGGAACTAGAAACCATAAAACATCTAAGATTTGGCATTGACATCCTCATTTAGCATGCAATCTTCTTCTCTTTTAACCCTTTACTTGGTACATCTTTTTGGTAGCAATTTTTCCTAATATTTCTGTCCTCCCACTTCTTCAATATAATCAGATGTTGTCAAGAACTGCTCACAACACAGGAAATGTTCCCATATCATCCCTAAGGTGTCCTTAAACATACCATATATTGAATCGCTTTCACGCTTCTGTGCCTACAAATTGAAAACAAATCACAATAATGAACACATGCTTGATCTTCATAATAATAGTCAACAACTGAAATATACACTCCGTTCCACAAAATTCATATTCAAAGGCTACTTTATACAAGGATCGATATCATTAAAATGTATAAACAGGTTTAAGAGAGAGAGTCGTTTGACTAAACAGCAAACAGGTAAATGAAGAGTATCTCTATAATAATATTTGGACAATCTAAATAGAAACTTACCAGTAATTCCGAAACTATTCCCTTGAATTTCAGAGAAACCTCCCTTCTAGCATCCTCAGTTGCAGTCTCAAAATTATATCGATTAGCACTTCTTACCTCGAGCAACAATGATGGGCTTTTATAAACTTCACTTCACTCTTCCAGAGTGAGATCACTGATTTCCATGCCTGAAAGCCTAATTGCGGCCATTGTACTGGGAAGTTCCTCGCGAGCAGTATCTGCTAGCTTTGCAAGGATGTTGCCGCTCTCCCCATTGCCTACAGGCCAGATTTAAAACAGACAAATAGAACCAACTTGCATAAGATGAATTTAGGAATATAAATCGTCCACAAAGAGGCAGAAGAAACCTATATACTTTCAGATCCCCAGCATCTAGAGAATCAGATAAAGTAGCTGCTTCCATGGGATCAACATACTGGAGATCTATACCTCATTTGAATATCCAATTACTTGTGGATTAACTAAGATGGCCATAATAGAAATTAAAAATCCACTTGAATCAAGAATGTAACATTGCCGTGCATAATTCTCTAACTAATTAACTGGTGTGCTAATACAACGGCATAGCACATTCTCAAATAATTATATGCTTCAGAGCCTGTGATATTCTAAATAGGCATGATTGCATTGTAACTGTCAGTGATTTCTTATCAGAAGCAGTGACTAGGGCTTTTAGATTTTCTATCCCATAGTGGTTCTCTAACCGCAATTAGACACTCTGATAGGCCAACAGTACCACTGTTCAAATTTATCTAACCAACAGGAGACTGGAAACTTATCTTTATCTAAGGTAAGCATTTTGTCTCATATTCCAAACTAATCAGCTGAAATAAAGAATTGAAGCTTATTTGGCAGGGAAACCTTGAGATCCCAAGTTAGGCAAGAGCAACAAAAATCTATTAGAACTTGAATATCTACAATACTGTTTAAGCCAGATCACTATAGAAGGAAAAAAATTTAATTACTTACATAGAGTGTAGGAACAGCTAAATAACAAGGCTGGTGAAAGCACAGAAGTCTGCATGCAATAGAAGTAACTTGTATTCATAAGTAATGGAACAACTTTGCCAGTGCAGTCAACAAACTCATAAAAGCCAGAGGTGAAAAGAAACGTAGGCATTTTTCAACTTGAAATTCAAACCCACACACTATAAGGATATTGAAAGAATTTCAACAAAATTCAAACTTTTAATTGTATACAAAATTTCCTCATAATTAACTTAAATTTGTCTCAACTAAAACTTAAAATACTTAGATTTACATATAATCACCCATCTAAACTTTCTCCTGAGATCTCTAATTGTCAATTATGATCAACAACCCCTATCATGAAATTCCACTCTACAAAACACACAAAGCACATACGCATCTCAGAATAATAAAATCCCACAATTACTAAAGGATTTTTGATATAAAACTCATATTTCATTTACACACCAATCTAACAGTTAACATCATTAGACCACGCCATGGACAAAAAGTTGAAATCCATGAACAATAATTAAAGACATTAAGCCTCAATCACAATAAACCCATAAACCATATTAGAGCCTAACGAATCTTCATTTTTTTCTATATCCAGCCAACCAATACACTGCCTGGTTCAAATTTCCATAAAGCTACATGTAACAACAATACAACAAAGATTTCAAAACTAAAGCTCCTAACACCAGCAAATTCAAAATATTAACAAAAATAATCTTCATAATACACTTACTATTTGCACAACACCATTATAGACCTGCTGAGTAGCTTAATCTCCTACAAATTTACTTAAAACCCGGTAAATTATACCAAACAACGAATACCCATCGAACAATTCAAACCTTTTAGCTCCAAATCACAACAAAACTACAATATAACTACAAACCCTAATTCACTCACCGCCCAATAACATAACCAACTTGAAATTCATACAAATCCCTTATATAACACACAATTAAAAATGCCCATAAAAAAATTCAAAACTTCTAAGCTCCCAACACAAAATCCAGAAAAGCATACCGTGCAAGCAATAAAAGTCAGCAAAAAGAAACTTGATCACTCAAGCTTAGTTTAGCGGGCGGAAGATAAGAGGGAAGGTTGGTGTTATACTTGTACATTGAATTCAGTCTGCAAATTTTCTTCAGGAACGAAACTTTCTGTATGGGTTTGATGTTGATTGTTTATTGAGCTATATGTGTAGAGCGAGTTTTGAAGAGTGAATTGGGGGCAAAAGAGAGTGTTTTCTCATTAAGTGGGACGTTAAAGGGAGGAATTTGGGTAGCGAAATTGAGGTTTTGGGAATTAAAATAGGTTCTTTGAAGAAATTGAAGAAATGGGGTGAGGGAAGACAGGAATTTGGTTTTATAAGATTTGGTTTCATTGTGAGAATGGATGAGGAGATGAGTTGAGTGAGCTCGGAAATATAGAAAATCGTTTTTTTCTAGTGTTTTGTTGTTCAAAGATGGTATAAATTTAATGAAGCTTTTATAATTTAAAAAAATATTCTATTTTTATTTCTTTCTCAAAAGAGAAATTCAGTAAGTTTTTTTTATATTTAAAAATATTACTTGATAAATTGATGAAATTTTAGGAATAATGATTGAAGCATGGTTTTTATACATTCAGTGATTTCACTGCAAAGATAATTGAAAAATATGCTCTAATCATTGTTACATATGAAATTGTTTAATACAAATAATTCTGTTTGTGAGAGGCTGACAGCTATAGATAGAGAGAATGTTTCAGTAATAGTGCTTGATTAAAATATAATTATTTTAAAATTATTCTTACAAATTTTGAGATCAACAAATCCTTTTCTCTAAGAGTAAGTCAATAAAATTTACCAACTTTTTTTTTTTTTTTTTTTTTTTTTATGATGGATACCAGGCCAATTTGCGTATACTTTAACTAATCTTAAGATCAATTGAACATCTTACAAGTCCATTGTTTCTTTTTAATATACTTCAACTAATCCTAGAATTCATTAAACATCTACAAGTTTAATATTCCTTTTTTTTTTTTTTTTTTTAATGATCAGGATGTCCAAGTCAGTTTATGCATCTTCAACTAATCCCTGAGACTCATTAAACACCCTATAAACTCAATATTCAAGTAAACCATAAATTGATAGTAATTTCAAGATGTTCAAACCCAAAATTGTTAATGAAAGGAACAAACTTTCTTTACCTCTATACCAATCTCGAGGTTAATTTAGCCTTTCTTTTCTCCTCAAAAGGAAATCAATCTGATAATATCATTAGAGTTTTCATTATATAATTTTTCTAAAATTTCAGAATTTTTTAACATAATCTTGAATGGTCCCAATGCAAATGGGAATTTTGAATTGTTCACCAATTGCTTGAGTAAAAATGCTTAGCTTAGTGAAAGGTGACACTGACAAGCAACAATAATCCACAATACCAAATTTATAATAAATTTAACGTCTCTTTACAAGGGAAGAAAAAACGATGAGGAGAAAATGATAACATACACAAAGAAACCACTCAAAATTTTCTACTTCAACATGACATGACCTTGATCTTTACCATAATATTCTTCCACAAAACAGGTCCAACAAAAATCATCTTAGTATAAATGCAGGAGGCGCTGGGAACACTTGCATCGCGTTGTTATTTCAAAAATTGATCGCAGCACAAGAAATTGTCCCATATCAATCTTATGGTGTCTTGGAACATGTTTATAGATCGAACGATATTCCAGCTTTTCTTCCTGAAAATATGCACGAAAAGGTATAAGTACATGTATACTTCTTCAATATGAGAAAACACAACTTAAGGACATAAAGAAAACATATGCATTAGTCACAAGTTGCAAATATCGTATTCCTTTTTTCTTTACAGTGAAAGGAGTTGCGAAGAAGTTGATTTCCGGAAAAACTAAAATATTACTTTCAATTCAGTCTATGATCATAATATATTATCTAAAAAAGCAACAGCATATATATGACTCAATCAACTGAACACTCAATTTGTAATCTAGTTTCTCCAATGGTAGCCAGCTGGGTAAACATTCATTTGATACTGATATAGATATCAATGAGGCATAATTGTTCTCTATTGAATAGATTCAACAGACAGAGCCATCTGTATAACAGTAGAAGAGTAAATGATAAGAGTACATCAATAGAAGCAAGAGGCTTTGAACATGGTCACAACTGCAGAATTTAACTTTAATAGTAGATTTCTCAGTCTGGAGAAAGATGGATTTAGGATAAAATAATAAAGTATGCACTAGCAAATGAAAAACAGTTTCTAGCAATGGCTCCCAAGTCCGAGATATATTAATCATACATTAGAGTAGGCCGTTAAGTAAAATACTGAAAACAGATAAACACACTAAATTACCTGTAGTTCTGAAACTAATCTTTTCAATTGCAGGGTAGTCTCATTGTAGCTTCCCCAGTTCCACTCTTGAAATCAGATCGATCAGCATATCTAACCTTGAGCCTTAGTGATGGGCTTTTATATGATTTCACTTTTGTGTGCCAAACCCCAATAACACAGTATCTATTCCATAATAGCCCATCCCATGGCCATCTCAATCCACCCTTCACCTCTGGATCTAAAACTGCCGAATTAATCAAATCTCTAATACTATGCGATTCGTCATCCTGGAAAAAAGCATAAAATCACTTATACTAAAGAATTGATTCTCAAGGATAATTATATGCAGCTGGAGACACTAACAAACACAAAATCTAATTGCACAAACTTTACCATCAAATAAGTCTACATGTAGGCAACTAAAATTGATTAGGATGATTACATTTCTTCATTTTATCACTTCCATGATGTCTGTAGTTATTATTCTATTTCAATCCTTGGTAAAGCGAGCCAAGTGAGTCAATAAGATTAACTGTCTGATGATTGTCTAATGTGCATGTGTTAACGTGGGAAATAAACATCATGAGATAAAACAATGCTAAAGAGTATAAAAAAATTCCTAATTTCAACACTTCAAAGTTGCTTCATCATTTTCCAAAATTGAAAACTCCTACTTAGGAATTAACAAGTTAAAAATAAATTAGAAGAAAAAAGAAGAAACTTGACATTAGATTGGTACAACAAACATCTAATGTATATGCATGCTTCAGAATAACTTACAGAGAGAGCAGTTAAGATCCTCTTACTGCCTAGCACAACCTAGGTCTAGATCCTTTTCAAGGCATGATACGTCCACAACCAAGTGACGAACTTGGTTTAGTTCAACCTACAGGAAAAAAAATATTGTATTACACATAGCTCCCCTATATATCAAACGGAAGCAGCATGAGTGAATAGAAATGTAGATAAATTAGGGAGGAAAGGAACTTATTAACATAATTGATTGATTCCCAACAATCATATCAGTTCAAAGGCAATTCGAAAAATGGCAAATCAATCTGGTCAAATTCAGTTCAATCATTATCAATATTATTCAATAAAATCATAACAATCTCCATTAGTACTAATGCACTTTTAACAAGTATGGTTTCTAGTCTTGTTCAGACTAGTAAAACTGTGAAAGTCTCATTTCGTTATTTATTTTAGCTCCCCAACTGTAAGTGTAGAACAACCTTGATTATAAGGTTGTATAATATCTTCAACTTTAAAAAATATTGAAGCAGTTTTTAATGGTAGGTCAAATCCCAAATATGGCATCAGTCTCAAGATTCAATCTAGTATCCATATGTAACAGTTTGTAAGTAGCGAAAAACTTACCTTATACAGCTCAAGCGTTTTATCTTCTCATACTACATTTGCAAGAAATAGTTGAGTCTGGACGTGTTATGTCAGAAACCTAGACAAGGAAAACAAGCTCAAATCAGTACCTAATCAAATAATACAAGAAATTTGACCATGCAGACATGTTTAGCAAAGTACCTTGACATGGTATATATCCTTCCCTCTTCAAAATCAACTCCAATCTTAGGCACAATGACATTCATGATGTTTTCCATGTATGTATTAGGAACATTAGTGTAAAACAATCTCTTCAGTTGTCTCAAAGTGGCTTCAGAAAATTGATCTCCTCTGATATTTTCTAAGCTCATTGAATTGCTCCTACATGAAGACAATAGTTATTACTTAGCCCACTGATAAATAAAAGTTAATTACTATGTTTGCTTCACATTACAAAACTAACAGGAGATTAGAATATGTGCGAAAGTTAATATATTAGTACAGATAATATTATAATTATACGGTAAGCAATATTCCTAATACAGTAAATCTAGCAAAGTGGTCACATACCCATTATATAGAATTTTTCCAAACCTAGCTACCAATATGGCTTTCTTCCTCTAATTTTGGCACTCCTTTCTTTCCTCAAAAACTCAAAAGAAGACAGTAAATCTGGCCATACGGTCTCAGCCAAAAATTCCCATGGGCGTTTCAATAAATTCCCTCTCATTTCATCATTTTCTGTCAGCCACAACCAAAAAAATTCATACTACCGAAGTACCAATTGAACACCTTACCATAATTCAAGAACAATGGAACATATGAAGACAAGACCAAAAAAGAAGACCACTAACCTTTACCCAGTTGAGTATTCACTAAAACTAAGGGCTTTCATTGTTTTCCTCTCAATGGTTTCAACCGAAATCGGCTCAAGGCGTAGAGAAGAAGGAAACCGGTTGTCACCATCCAAACCAACACACACCACACAGTAATGCATTGTCTCCATACATAATCTTCTCACTCCTGTCCCTTTAGGTCTATACGGTCGCAAGTTCAAATTTTTCTTGAACTGAGGAGTGAACAACTCAGGAATTGGGGATGGCCTCCCAAACTCATCAAATGTTGCAAGTTCGAACATGTCTTGAATTGAGGAAGAAGCCCCTCTGAGGAGTTGGAAATGGCCTCTCCAAGCCACTGAATGTCGCTTGTAAGGTGAACGTAAGCCATTAGAGCAACAGCAAGTATGCACAACCTTATTACCACGAAAACAATCAATTTCAACAAAAGTTAGAGGAAAGCAATCACGTTTCTTCAAATAAAAAAACACCAATTCCTCAAATAAACCAATGAAACAATAAAACCTCTAAACATAATAGAGACAAGATTCAAGATAACCATTACTCCAACTTTCTTGAGTTTCAAGAAGAAATTGAAAGAGGAAAGTAAAATAATGCAAGAAAAACGAATAAATGAAGTGAAAAAGGACAGGAGATAGTTGTGATACCTGGAGAGAAACGAAGGAGTGTTGTTGTCATGTTTAGAAGGGGATGATGGTGGGAGTTAAATAGAGGAAGAAATGGAAGAGAAATTGGTAACCCTTGTAGAACAAGTAGTGAAGTGAAGTGGGTTTTGTTTTGGAATTAAGAATTATTTGACAAGATTCAAATCACTGCTCCAACCCTTTGCTTGTAAGGGGAATGAGGAGAGAGTAGACAAGAAACAGGAGGAAGAAACACTTTTTATCTTTCCTGGCTCTTGGAGCGACGCGTGGTTCATCAACCGGTTCGATCATAGCCGTCGATCTACAGTGAATCTCGACCCTCCATTCGTCAAGCAATCTTGATCCTTAGATGTGGCCACGTGTCAATCATCCACCAAGGGTGATCAACAGTCAGATTTCCATATTCATATCCGTTGCCGCACTTTACCTCAACTTTGCGTATGGACAACTGTAGTCGCCCACGTGTGACGAAAAGTAACTGCCAAGGGCTATCGCATTTAATACGACATGACCGCGTGGAATTTACACAAGTACCCTTTCTTTTCAAATTCCTAGTTTATCGAGAATATCACAAAAGAGAAAAGGTCAAGTGTAGAGGACGTCGACTGGGCATAAGTCCAACTTATGAAGCTCAATTGAATCTACATCCAACACCCTACCGATGAATGTCAAGCTTGATATCAAATCGAGCAATAGTCTTCGAAGCTCGAAATGAGCACAGAACACTAGGGGGCAGATGTTGTATGTGATTTTTCTACCAAGATCGAAGTATTGCGAGGTTATAGCTTGATCCAGGACTAGCTCAACTGTACTTATTGTTCGACCCAACATTAGCTCGTCGAGTTATAGCTCGAACTAGCACAAGCTAGTCGTGACCAATTTTCGTAGTTGTTGAACCAATTCACGGATAACTTCAGATCCCAGATATTTTGGGCGTAGGCTCAAGAGTTCAAGTCGTCGAACCATTTTAAAAATCTCTTTGCCATTTAATTTAATGTACTTATTATTTATTCACTGCTGGTTATCCGTGATCACGCACACATCAATTCCGATCCCGACTATATCGATCGGATCACTCTAGTTGGTGTAACTCTTGCTTAACTATAATTTTTTTTTTTTTTTATCAAATAGTTCTTCAAAGATAAAAACTTTTATCACAAATACCCCTTTGCTCTAATTCGTTTACATTGTCATTGTGTTCAAAACACTTTCTTATACTTACATTTTACCCCCGACACTTTCTTATAAGGACAAAGTTATCATTTTACTCACCTACCACCACAAACAGCAACATAACAGATTTAGGGTAAATAAATATTCATGAGACAGTTTTCAAATTTTAAAGGGTCCATTTGTCAAAGGTACAAAACTTGCATCCAAATTTTAAGTTTGGAAACCTTAAGAGTCCAATATATTTCTATACGAAGAAAACTAAATGAGATGAGATAAGATCGTTAACAAAATTTTATATTTTTGTCCCTAAAATTAGAGAGAAATGAATGAAAAAAAATTAATTGTTTAATGTTTAATTATATGAATATATCTAATCATTTATAATCATTTATTGAGATGAGATTAGTTATATGGAAGTCTATTTAATGGGTTGAATGTTTGCATCAGCTTATTACTAGGCCTGTGTCTGAACCAACTTGCATGCACCTTAACTAATCTTCAGTGTCTTGAAGTTAACAACCGAGTAAATCTCCAATGGTCATCTCATCCCTATTAGCAAGGATCAAACTCAAGATCTCTTGAATAATACCTCAAAAATCCCTATTTAACCACTTGGCTACCCAATGGTGGTTTTAAAGTTATTGTATTGTAATTCATGAATATTCCTCATTGTTGGACAAAAATGACAAAATTCAGAATTTCACCAAGGAATTTCAGGATGTCCAGCATTTCAAATAGCAGAGGTGGAACAAATGGACTTTCTATTTCTTTGATATTTGGAATTTATGGGCATTCGTACTGTCCAAATACAATCAACCATTTGGGCTGATGCCTCAGTTTCTCTTATCTATTTACACAGGCAGTAAGCAATTCATTGAAGGGAACTTGGATGCAGCCAACTTCATTAGATTTCCACCCTATCAATTCCATTGTCATCTCCGTTCTCAGAGCTGAACTCCCCTCTAGAGATCATATTCATGAACGACTTCGTGGCTTGGCCAACAGCATGGGAGGTTTTCTTTGCAGCCCCAGCAACAACTGGTTGCAAAGAGATGATAGGGAGACTTGCCCTCTCTTGAATCATAGCTGGGTCATAAAAACAAGTCGCAAAAAATCAGACATGGTAAAGGAAAGTAAAGCAGAGATAATTTTACTAGTAACCGAGGGAAAAAGCAATGGACACCACTTTATACTTACAGATGGTTTGTTGGCGAGCAACTGTACCAATCTGTCGGATTCCAGCTTCTGCTGCCTGCACAGCTTGGGCTGATTTGTTGACCCCATCAGCAATTTCTTGGCTAAATAACAATTCCCATAAACAATATCATTAGTATTTTAAAAGAGAATAGATAAGATGATTCTTAATAACAGGATTATATGCATAAATAAATATACTAAAATCTCCAGTTTAAAGGCATTGTTTTTCTTAGGTTTATTTGAAGGAGTCCTCATAATACTTAATAAGACAAAAATGTAGAGATTCCAAGGGTACAAAATTGCCAGAACAGAACAATAAAGAATTTAGTTAAAATGTAAGGATCTTAGTTTCACCTTAAGTCACTCAGTTCCAGAGTGAGATCACTGATTTCCATGCCTGAAAGCCTAATTGCGGCCATTGTACTGGGAAGTTCCTCGCGAGCAGTATCTGCTAGCTTTGCAAGAGATGTTGCCGCTCTCCCCATTGCCTACAGGCCAGATTATGAAACAGACAAATAGAACCAACTTGCATAAGATGAATTTAGGAATGATAAATCGTCCACAAAGAGGCAGAAAGAAACCTATAATACTTTCAGATCCCCAGCATCATAGAGAATCAGATAAAGTAGCTTGCTTCCATGGGATCAACAATACTTGAGATCTATACCTCATTTGAATATCCAATTACTTGTGGGAATTAACTAAGATGGCCATAATAGAAATTAAAAAATCCACTTGAATCAAGAATGTAACATTGCCGTGCATAATTCTCTAACTAATTAACTGGTGTGCTAAATACAACAGGCAATAGCACATTCTCAAATAATTATATGCTTCAAGAGCCTTGTGATATTCTAAATAGGCATGATTGCATTGTAACTGTCAGTGATTTCTTATCAGAAGCAGTGACTAGGGCTTTTAGATTTTCTATACCCAATAGTGGTTCTCATAACCGCAATTAGACACTCTGATAGGCCAACAGTACCACTGTTCAAATTTATCTAACCAACAGGAGACTGGAAACTTATCTTTATCTAAGGTAAGCATTTTGTCTCATATTCCAATACTAATCATGCTGAAATAAAGATAATTGAAGCTTATATTGGCAGGGAAACCTTGAGATCCCAAGTTAGGCAAGAGCAACAAAAATCTATTAGAACATTGAATATCATACAATACTGTTTAAGCCAGATCACTATAGAAGGAAAAAAATTTAATTACTTACATAGAGTGTAGGAACAGCTGAAATAACAAGGCTGGTGAAAGCGACAGAAGTCTGCATGCAATAGAAGTAACTTGTATTCATAAGTAATGGAACAACTTTGCCAGTGCAGTCAACAAACTCATAAAAGCCAGAGGTGAAAAAGAAACGTAGGGCATTTTTCAACTTGAAATTCAAACCCAACAGCACTATAAGGATATTGAAAGAATTTCAACAAAATTCAAACTTTTTAATTGTATACCAAAATTTCCTCATAATTAACCCTTAAATTTGTCTCAACTAAAACTTAAAATACTTAGATTTACATATAATCACCCATCTAAACTTTCTCCTGAGATCTCTAATTGTCAATTATGGTAAACAAACAACCCTATCATGAAATTCCACTCTACAAAAACTACACAAAGCACATACGCATCTCAGAATAATAAAAATCCCACAATTACTAAAGGATTTTTGATATAAAAACTCATATTTTCCATTTACACACCAATCTAACAGTTAACATCATTAGACCACGCCATGGACAAAAAGTTGAAATCCATGAACAAATAATTTAAAGACATTAAGCTCTCAATCACAATAAAACCCATAAACCATATTTAGAGCCTAACAGAATCTTCATTTTTTTTCTATATCCAGCCAACCAATACGACTGCCTGGTTCAAATTTCCATAAAGCTACATGTAACAACAATACCAACAAAGATTTCAAAACTAAAGCTCCTAATCACAGCAAATTCAAAATATTAACAAAAATAATCATTCATAATACACTTACTATTTGCACAACACCATTATAGACCTGCTGAGTAGCTTAATCTCCTACAAATTTACTTAAAACCCAGGTAAATTTATACCAAACAACGAATACCCATCGAACAATTCAAACCTTTTAAGCTCCAAATCACAACAAAACTACAATATAACTACACAAACCCTAATTACACTCACCGCCCAATAACATAACCAACTTGAAATTCATACAAATCCCTTATGAATAACACACAATTAAAAATGCCCATAAAAAAATTCAAAACTTCTAAGCTCCCAACCACAAGAAAATCCAGAAAAGCATACCGTGCAAGCAATAAAAGTCAGCAAAAAGAAAGCTTGATCACTCAAGCTTAGTTTAGCGGGCGGAAGATAAGAGGGAAGAGTTGGTGTTGCTACTTGTACATTGAATTCAGTCTGCAAATTTTCTTCAGGAACTGAACTTTCTGATATGGGGTTTGATGTTGATTGTTTATTGGAGCTATATGGTGTAGAGCGAGTTTTTGAAGAGTGAATTGGGGGCAAAAGAGAGTGTTTTCTCATTAAGTGGGACGTTAAAGGGAGGAATTTGGGTAGCGAAATTGAGGTTTTGGGAATTAAAATAGGGTTCTTTGAAGAAATTGAAAGAAATGGGGTGAGGGAATGACAGGAATTTGGTTTTATAAGATTTGGTTTCATTGTGAGAATTGGATAGAGGAGATGAGTTGAGTGAGCTCGGAAAATATAGAAAATCGTTTTTTTCTAGTGTTTTGTTGTTCAAAGATGGTATAAATTTAATGAAGCTTTTATAATTTAAAAAAATATTTCTATTTTTATTTCTTTCTCAAAAGAGAAATTCAGTAGAGTTTTTTTTTATATTTAAAAAATATTATTTTGATAAATTGATGAAATTTTAGGAATAATGATTGAAGCATGGTTTTATTACAATTCAGTGATTTCACTGCAAAGATAATTGAAAAATATGCTCTAATCATTGTTTACCATATGAAATTGTTTAATACAAATAATTCTGTTTGTGAGAGGCTGACAGCTAATAGACAGAGAGAATGTTTCAGTAATAGTGCTTGATTAAAATATAATTATTTTAAAAATTATTCTTACAAATTTTGAGATCAACAAATCCTTTTCTCTAAGAGTAAGTCAATAACACTCTTAGAGATGTCAATAAAATTTATTGACTACCTTTTTTTTTTTTTTTTTTTCTTATGATGGGATTCCAGGCCAATTTCGTATACTTTAACTAATCTTTAAGATCAATTAAACATCTTACAAGTCCATTGTTTCTTTTTTAATATACTTCAACTAATCTCTAGAATTCATTAAACACTCTACAAGTTTAATATTCTTTTTTTTTTTTTTTTTTATGATCAGGATGTCCAAGTCAGCTTATGCGTACTTCAACTAATTCCTGAGACTCTTAAACACCCTATAAACTCAATTTCTAAAGTAAATCACAATATAAATAAGAATTTCAAGATGTTCAACCCAAATTGTTAATAAAGGAACAAACTTTCTTACCTCTATACCAATCTCGAGGTTAATTTAGCCTTTCTTTTCTCCCAAAAGGAAATCAATCTGATAATATCATTAGAGTTTTCATTTATATATTTTTCTAAAATTTCAGAATTTTTTACATAATCTTGAATGGTCCCAATGCAATGGGAATTTTGAATTGTTCACCATTGCTTGAGTAAAAATGCTTAGCTTAGTGAAAGGTGACACTGACAAGCAACAATAATCCACAAATACCAAATTTATAATAAATTTAACGTCTCTTTACAGGAAGAAAAAACGATGAGGAGAAAATGATACAATACACAAAGAACCCACTCAAAATTTTCTACTTCAACATGACATGACCTTGATCTTTACCATAATATTCTTCCACAAAAACAGGTCCAAACAAAAATACGTCTTAATATAAATGCAGGGCGCTGGGAACACTTGCATCGCGTGGTTTATTTCAAAAATTGATCGCAGCACAAGAAATTGTCCCATATCAATCTTATGGTGTCTTGGAACATGTTTAGATCGAATGATATTCCACTTTTCTTCCTGAAAATTGATGAACGAAAAGGTATAAGTACAGTATATTTCTTCAATATGAAAAAGCAACAATTAAGGCCATAAATACTAAACATATGCATTAGCACAAGTCGCAAATATCGTATTCCTCTTTTCTTCACAGTGAAAGGAGTTACAAAGAGTTGATTTCCGGAAAAACTAAAAATTACTTTCAATTCAGTCTATGATCAAAATATATTATCTAAAAAGCAACAGCATATATTGACCGAATCAACTGAACACTCAATTTTGTAATCTAGTTTCTCCAATGGGCAGCTGGGTAAACATTCATTTGATACTGATATAGATATCATAATAAGGCATATATTGGTTCTCTATTGTAAATATGATTAACAGACAGAGCCATCTGTATAAACAGTAGAAAGTAAATGATAAGAGTACATCAATAGAAGCAAGAGGCTTTGAACATGGTCACAACTGCAGAATTTAACTTTAATAGTAGATTTCTCAGCTCTGGAGAAAGATGGATTTAGGATAAAATAAATAAAGTATGCACTAGCAAATGAAAAACAGTTTCTAGCAATGGCTCCCAAGTCCGAGATATATTAAGTCATACATTAGGTAGGCCGTTATAAAATACTGAAAACATGATAAACACACTAAATTACCTGTAGTTCTGAAACTATCTTTTCAATTGCAGGGTATTTCCATTGTAGCTTCCCCAGTTCCACTCTTGAAATCAGATCGATCATATACTAACCTTGAGCCTTAGTGATGGGCTTTTATATGATTTCACTTTTGTGTGCCAAACCCCAATAACACAGTATCTATTCCCATAATAGCCCAATCCCATTGGCCATCTCAATCCACCCTTCACCTCTGGATCTAAAACTGCGAATTAATCAAATCTCTAATACTATGCATTCATCATCCTGGAAAAAAGCATAATCACTTTGACTAAAGAATTGATTCTAGGATAATTATATGCAGCTAGAGACACTAACAAACCAAAATCTATTGCACAAACTTTACCATCAATAAGTCTACATGCAACTAAAATTGATTAGATGATTACATTCTTCATTTATCACTTCCATGATGTCTGCAGTTATTATTCTATTTCAATCCTTGGTAAAGCGAGCCAAGTGAGTCAATAAGATTAACTATCTGATGATTTCTATGTGAATTATTAACTGGGAAATAAACATCATGAGATAAACAATGCTAAAGAGTATAAAAAAATTTCCTAATTTCAACCTTCAAAGTTGCTTCATCATTTTCCAAATTGAGAAACTCCTAGTAGGAATTAACAATTTAAAAATAAATTAAAGAAAAAAAGAAGAAAAGCTTGACATTAGATTGGTACAACGAAAGCATCTTAATGTATATGCATGCTCCGAATAACTTACAGAGAGAGCAGTTAAGATCCTCTTACTGCCTAGCATCAACCTTAGGTCTAGATCCTTTCAAGGCATGATACGTCCACAACCAGTGACGAACTTGGTTTAGTTCAACCTACAGGAAAAAAAATTTGTATTAACAATAGCTCCCCATATATCAACAGGAGCACATGAGTAGAAATGTATAATTAGGGAGGAAACGAACTTATTAACATAAGTGATTCCCAACAATCATATCAGTTCAAAGGCAATTCGAAAAAGTGGCAAATCATCTGGTCCAATTCAGTTCAATCATTATCAATATTATTGAATAACATCATAACAATCTCCATTAGTACTAATGCACGTTTAACAAGTATGGTTTCTGGTCTTGTTCAACTAGTAAAACTGTGAAAGTCTCATTTCGTTTATTTATTTTAGCTCCCCAACTGTAAGTGTGAAACAACCTTGATTATAAGGTTGTATAATATCTTCAACTTTAAAACATATTGAAGCAGTTTTTAATGGTAGGTCAAATCCCAAATATGGCATCATACTCAAGATTCAGTCTAGTATCCATATGTAACAGTTTGTAAGCAGCGAAAAACTTACCTATACAGCTCAAGCGTTTTTATCTTCTTTCATACTACATTTGCAAGAAATAGTTGAGTCTGGACGTGTTATGTCAGAACACCTAGACAAGGAAAAGAAAGCTTCAAATCAGTACCTAATCAAATAAGTACAAGAAATTTGACCATGCAGACATGTTTGCAAAGTACCTTGACATGGTATATATCCTTCTCCTCTTCAAAATCAACTCCAATCTTGGCACAATGACATTCATGATGTTTTCATATATGTATTAGGAACATTAGTGTAAACAATCTCTTCAGTTGTCTCAAAGTGGCTCAAAAATTGATCTCCTCTGATATTTTCTAAGCTCATTGAATTACTCCTACATGAAGACAATAGTTATTACTTAGCCCACTGATAAATAAAAGTTTTACTATGTTTTGCTTCACGTTACAAAACTAAAAGATTAGATATGTGCGAAAGAGTTATATATTTAGTACAGATATATTATAATTATACGGTACAATATTCCCAATACAGTAAATCTAGCAAAGTGATCACAACCCATTATATAGAATTTTTCCAAACCTAGCTACCAATATTGGCTTTACTTCCTCATATTTTGGCACTCCATTTCTTTCCTCAAAAACTCAAAAGAAGACAGTAAATCTGGCCATACGGTCTCAGCCAAAAATTCCCATGGGCGTTTCAATAAATTCCCTCTCATTTCATCATTTCTGTCAGCCACAACCAAAAAAATTCAATACTACCGAAGTACCAATTGAACACCTTACCATAATTCAAGAACAAATGGAACTATGAAGACAAGACCAAAAAGCAGACCACTAACCTTTACCCGTTGAGTATTCACTAAAACTAAGGGCTTTTCATTTGTTTTCCTCTCAATGGCTTCAACCGAAATCGGCCTCAAGACGTAAAGAAGAAGGAACCGGTTGTCACACCAAAACCAACATCACACCACACAGTAATGGCATGTTTCCATACCTATCTTTCCACTCCTGTCCACTTTAGGTCTATACGGTCGCAAGTTCAAATTTTTCTTGAACTGAGGAGTGAACAACTCAGGAATTGGGGATGGCCTCTCCAAACTCATCAAATGTTGCAAGTTCGAACATGTATTGAATTGAGGAAGAAGCCCCTCTGAAGGAGTTGGAAATGGCCTCTCCAAAGCCACTGAATGTCGCTTGTAAGGTCGAACGTAAGCCATTAGGGCAACAGCAAGTATGCACAACCTTATTACCTAACGAAAACAATCAATTTCAACAAAATTTAGAGGAAAGCAATCACATTTCTTCAAATAAATAAACACCCAATTCCTCAAATAAACCAATGAAACAATAAAACCTCTAAACATTAGAGATGAACAAGATTCAAGATAACCATTACTCCAACTTTCTTGAGTTTCAAGAAGAAATTGAAAGAGGAAAGTAAAATAATGCAAGAAAAACGAATAAATGAAGTGAAAAAGGACAGGAGACAGTTGTGATTACTTGGAGAAGAGAAACGAAGGAGTGCTGTTGTCATGTTTAGAAGGGGATGATGGTGGGAGTTAAATAGAGGAAGAAATGGAAGAGAAAATAGTAACCCTTGCAGAACAAGTAGTGAAGCGAAGTGGGGTTTTGTTTTTGGGAATTAAGAATTATTTGACAAGATTCAAATCACTGCTCCAACCCCTTTGCTTGTAAGGGGATGAATGAGGAGAGAGTAGACAAGAAACAGGAGGGAAGAAAACAGACTTTTTATCTTTCCTCGCTCTTGGAGCGACGCGTGT